GATAGACACTTCCTCAAAATTAATGTAAGTTTAAAAACAACAGCAGCCACGAAATCAAAATCTCAATGCATTTTTGGTGGAGAATACTTAAGAAATTGTCCCAAAGTTCATTTTAAAGATCAAATATATAAGAAGAGTCAGAAAATATTTGAAAATAAAATCTGTTCAGGCACACCTCCTTTCATTCGACTTCACTGTATTGCACCTCACAGATACTGGCTTTTTTACCAATGAAGGGTTTTTGGCAACCTTGTGTCGATCAAGTCTACCAGCATTTTTTCCCCAACAGAATCTCTCACTTCATGTCTCTGTTACATTTTGATAATTCTGGTGCTAGTTCAAACTTCTTCATTATTACTGTATTTGTTATAGTAATCTGTCATTGGTCATTTGACATGCTGAGAGCTCAGATGATGGTGAGCATATTTTAGCAAGAAAGTATTTTTTTTATTAAGGTATGTATGTTGCTTTTTTAGACATAATGGGCCAGGCACCATAATAAAGTGAATCAAATGAATTGTTTGGTTTTCCAGTGCATATAAACGCACTTTATTGCCATGTCTCCTTTATTGCGGTGGCCTGGAACCACTTGGCAGTATCTCTGAGGTGTGCACATACTGTAGTTAGAATAATTAGAAATATCTGCTAGTGCCAGAACAAAGGGACAAGAGAAATTCCAGAAACAGATGTGGATGTTTGTAAGAATTTACTATATAACAAAAGTGACCATTTGGTCAGGAAACAGTGGGTTACTCAACAAATAGTTGGGACAGAGTCACCTTGGTGGTCCTGGCCCTGGGAAGGGCATGTGCACATGTAGAAGAACCCCTGGCCTAATTATTTGGGAAATATTTCAGACTATGTTTTTCTTAGTTTACACCCCAAAAAAATAACAAAAAAACCTGGTAGAGTAAGATTAAGAAATAACAAACTTGTTAAAGAATAGGGTTAGAAAGTATTGGTAAATATATAATCTTGGGATTGAGTGAAACTAAATACAATCTCAAAGGCAGAAATCACAATGAAAAGATAGATTTGTCTAAATCAAAATTTAAAAAATTATGTATATATAATTCCATGAATTAACAAAGTTGAAAGATAAATGTCAAGCAGGGGAATTGTTGGCTACATACATGACAGACAATTCTTAAGTATATATTTTCACAGTCACTAAGATAAAAATGCATATTTTATAGAAAAATGGGTTAAGTCAATAAGATAAAAATGAATATTTTATAGAAAAAGTATTTAAATGAGCAGGTAATTTATTAAGAAATCCAAACAGCATATAAGCATGAAAAAAATTTTTACATTGTTAGGAATCAAAGGAATATGCATGTTAAAATGACAGTGAGAAACATTTCATCCTCTCAAGATTTTAAATATTGAATGTAATTTTAATCTTGCATTTTAAGAGGGTTGCATTTCAAAATGCTAACAGTGATTCTTTTTGGGTAGTGGGGGAAAGGGTGCTTTCCTCTTTTCATTTTGCTTTTCTGTGGTGTTAATATTTCACTTGTGCAATAAAGAAATCCTAGCATGTACTGACTCTTAGCAAAGTGCTCAACTGGAATTTCTGGAGAACTAGTATCTGGGAGTGAGCAAGGATGTGTCCAAGCTGTGGTCTTCCTCTTGGGCCCAGCCTGGAGCTCATGGAGCCATATCGCTTCACCTTGACCCCCAACTTCAAGAACTGGGTCCAGGTGGCTGCTGTTCAGACAAGAGGAATGAGACAGAGGCAGGGAGATAGGAAGCTAGTGCAGTAATGATCCAGGTAGCAATTTATAAAAATAACTAGAACTTGGTATGACCACTCTTCAAGCAAAAACAAACAAACAAATAAATTAATGGCATGTCTGTTTAGGTCTGTAGGAAGAAGCGCTAGGATGCCGGAAGAAGAAAGTAAACCAAGTCAAACATGTACATGAAGAAAATGCTGAGCTAATTTTTTCTGGAGAAGAATATGAAAATGGAAATGCTGCAATTGTCTGGGATGGAGCAATTTCAGATTCAGAACAAATTATTTCCAACATTTGGAGCAGTCATGCCTGGCATATATTCAAGAAGAATGACAGTCCACTTCAGGCAAGGTACCACCCATCCACTGCAGCCTACCAAGTATACGTGACCCTCATCAAATCCTGTGGCCACCTCACCTAGTTCTCAACCTGAATCTGGATCACCAGGGTTAGGCTTCTGTCTTCACCTGGTTCTAGAACAATTCATGCCTCATAATTCAGGGTTACTCTCTCCTTTAGTTCAGTTTTTAGCTTCTAGTAGTTCCTCTAGAAGGTGTGAATGAAAGTCTTTAACAATACAGCTTCCATTTCTGGAGAAACCTGAGTTGTTTTAGGTTGGGTTCTCCAGAAGCAGACTAAGAGTTAAGTCTTTGCATGCAAGTATGTTATGGTGTGTGTATGTGTGTGTGTGTCTGTGTTGTGGGGGTGTGGGGTGTCCTCAGGGACAACATCTATTAGGGAAAGAGTACCTGGACAGAGAGCAGTTCCATGGAAAGCTCTGGAGCTGGGATGGCCCTGCAGGGTTGCCCTCAACTGAAGCGTGGGGGCCTGGCCTTGGGACTTCAGACTGGCTGGTCATTGGATGCAGGTTGTCCCTGGAAAAGGCATATTTGTGAATGAGATAGGTTGTATCAGCCTCAACCAAGGGAAATCTCCAGGGAGGAAGGCAACTGAGTTGCTTTGGCAAACTGTAGAGGAAGGAAAGAGACCATGAGGGAAGTGGGCTTGCTGGAATGGTTTATTGTGTGGAGCTAGATCAGACAGAGGGTTATGTTCCATGGGAGGTCTAAAAGACAGACCATATACAAAGGCAACAGGGAATGTATGGGTGAGAGAAGCACCTGCATCTCTAAGAAATTCACAAGGGGCTCTCCTTTGCGAGCCGGGATGATAGAGTTGCAATCCCAGGGCTGGTCTTGATAATATCCAGGGGATGATAGCATCCTAAAGTAATAGAAGCCAGGTGGGAGCTTTAATCATCAGAATCCTGGAGGCTGTAATTACTGTAACAGCTAACAAGCTCAGAGTGGCAGCCTAGGGGGCTTATGAAAGTATTGAACAGTACAAGGTGTCCCGAGGGGCTAAATAGATGGGCAGTCAACTGGGTTCTGCTTCATATCCACAAGAAGAAAAAGGCAGGAATGGAGAAGCAAGTGTCTGAGGGTGTTTTCCCCGATAAAAATTTATGTTCCTTATTCAATTCTCAGATCTGAGTCAATTTGCAGACTCAGACCACAGAACCCATTGAATGAAAAGGTGGCTGGGTCCCTAGGAAGAAGGAACCTGCCTGCAAGTAGTTACTACTACATGTAGATTACTGCATGGCATATGACATTTTCTCAGCTAACTATATGTTGGGGAAAGTGGAATACCCAGACATTTTTCAGGGTCTGAAAGGATCTTGTTACCCAGAAACCCGAAGTGTTATCTTTGGCCCCTCTGTACGGGTGGAGGTTTTTGAGGGCCAGGTAACAAGCAGAGTCCTAAATAACATCCAGCTTACCACAGGTCCGTAGGTGTATCCAGTGGTCATTTCCCCAGTCCCTGAGTGCATAATTGGGAGTATATATTGGGCAGCTGGAGCAAGCTCCACATTAGGTCCTTGACCTTGAGTTCTCATGGTGGGGAAGAACAAGTAAAAGCCTCTGAAATTGTTAATTCCCTACCAAATCAAGATAATAAATCAAAAGCAATATTCAATTCAAGGGGGCTGGGGTATGATGATGGAGATTAATGTCATCATTAAACACCTAAAGGATGCAAAAGTGGTCATCCTTGTTATATCTCCATATAAGTTGCTGGCCTGGCCCCTTTAGAAACCAGGAGAATAGCTTATTGACTCCTGCAGACCTAACTACATAGTAGCCCTGATCCCAGCCATTGTGCCAGCCTTGTGATTTGTTATAATATAGTTCAAAAGGATTTGGATCACCTGGTCAAACCACAAAACACCACCATTACATTGATTACATCATGCTAATCAAGCAGGATAAGCAAAAAGTGTGAGTATACTGGAAACTTTGGTAAGACATACACACTTCAAATGGTGGGAGGTAAACCTATGAACATTCAGGGACCTGCCACTTCAGTTTTTAGGGAACCAGTGGCCGAGGACCTGCCCAGATATCTCCTTCAAAGTAAAAGGCAAATTATAAAACACAAATAAGCAATATAAAAGGAAAAAAATTACTTATAAACTCTCTAAAAGTGATACCTAAACTTGATCATAGTATTTATGTCCTGCAATACCTTTTTCATTCTGCATAAACATAGCAAACTAACATGGAATCATATCACTATTCAATACATTGTTTACTTATTTGCTTATTGTCTATCTTTCCTCACTGAGATAGAAGCTTCATCAAAGTTGGGTCTTGTTCACTGCTGTATCCTTGACATCTAGAAGGCATTTGGTGCTCAAGCAAGATTTTTTGGTGGAATGAATGAAGCATACTATACACATGGTTTTTATAGCCATTTATTTTCAACTAACTTCCAGATGCTTTCGGTAATACTTAATCTTTCTTAAAATTCGACACTTTAGAATCACGTTAAAGCAGGTTTCTCACAACTCCAAAGACTACTTCTATCTTCAGTTGCCTCCTTGAAAGGCAATTTTAAAACCAAGAAACGTTAGTCTTTTGTCAGCCCTGGAGTCTCTTTGCTTTTGACCAGCATTGCCTTAGGGTGTACAGCGGGCGCAGCCTTCCTGGATCATTCTTTAGGAGGACCCAAGTCCGATTCCCAGGACAGGAATTAATGATTGTACCCAGGCAACCAGCCCAGCCCAAGAGCACATCCCTTTTTTGACCACGAAGAGGCGCTAGAACACCACAGTCCGAGCTTGGTTCCGGGCCCTTTGGACGGAAGACTCTTGGGCGGGTGTATCTTCCCGGTATGGGCGGAGCAAAAGGTGCCCCTGTCCGCGCAGTGGGCAGGAAGTGAGGAGGCGGGGCCTCTGGGGGGGGTGCGCTTGCGCAGAGTTCGGTTCGGAGCAGTCGCTTTCGCTTCCTTCTCTGCTGTGGTCTGTCCTTGTGGGGACGCCTCTGGAGTTTAATGTGTGGGACCCGGCCCAGGGGCGGGGGCAGAGAACGGGAGTTGCAGTGGGGAGGACTTCGAGGCGCACTGGGGTGAGGAGCGGGGACATATGAGGACCCGGCGGGGTTAGGGTGGCGAGGCCCTGGCGGGAGGAGGGGACCGATGGGCTCCCGGGCGGCCATGGGGAGAGCGGGGCGCGTGGAGTCGGGGAGGGGTGAGTAGAAAAGACAGGGGTGCGGGGAAAGCCTCATTCTACCCCTTCCTCTCCTGTTGGCGAGAAATGCAAGGACCCCAGGGTGCTGCAGCCTGGGAGCTGCAAATTGGCAGGTGGCTGTGTTTTCTGCGAAGTTACTCCTCAGCCTTTCCTTCCCGTTAGCGGCGTCCTTTTTAAGGTAGTACTTATCACGGCGATATTGTGTGCCTCACACGGACAGTCACCTGTGGAAAACCGCTTCTAGCTGCTCAAGGCATCCTGAGAGTCAATCTCTTACCTCCTCACTCTTAGAGAAAGTGAAAGTTTTTCTCCTGAACCCTGCAGTGAAAAATCGAGAATTTCCTGTCTACCAGTAGGGAGTTTTGATAGTTTCGTCACAAACTTGTCTACAAGAAACACTTTTTATACTATTCAAGTAATGTCACTTGCCTGTATAAAATGGAGCGACAGTTTTATTGTACTGAGGCCCTCCGTGAGAAATTTTAATCCAGGGAGATGAAAATACTTCATTTGGAATTCAGGAATTGATCAGCTGTAGTGACTCCAGCCACTGCCATGCAACCCTCACTGAAAGGATTTCGGTTTATATCCGTCATCTCAAGACATTGTGAAGGGTGCAGTCTGACATTTGGAAGCCTGTTGCCTTCCAATTTATTTTTTTTTCAAGTCTTCCATCATATGTGTACTTTGCTTGAATGATTATTTTAAAGTACGTGTCCTATTTTTGCCAGTCTGACAGCTGTTTCCATAGAAACTAGAGAAGAAATAGTCATTTTCAGCAGAGTCGTTAAAACTGTTTTCCAGACTTCAGCGCTGAGTGCCAGTGAGTGCTGTACTTGCTCATTCTGAGCTGGTACTTAAAGAATTAAGGATCCGAAATGTTCTTAGAGGACAACAATCCAAGTTGTTTAATTTTCTTACATCATTAATTCGGTAATCCTCCAAGTTTGCCAGCTATGTTGTTTGCCTGCTATAGTTCTTTGAAGATCTGTCAGCCCTGATTCTCTTACCCTCGGTGTAGTCAAGTGATGGGCTCTTTGAACATGTATAAATAGAATTCTTCTCCCATTCTTTTACCCTTTCTTAAGGATAAAGCGGGGATCACAAAATATCAGGCTCTATATCTGTTCTAAATGACACTTGATTGTCAGTGCTATAATGATAGTATTTTTACTTATGTACCTGTAGCGTTTGGCGCTTTTGCTTATACCTCTTTATCAGTAGAATACTTTTAAAAAATTTAAGTCATGAGAATTTTCTTGGCAGTGAGCAGAACTAAGCAGGTAATGTGTATAGACAAAAAGAGGGGATACAAATTTTCTGAAGGGTGTAAGTAAATCAGTGGGTCTGGAACTTAGGAACAGGTGAGGAGGGGTGCTGAAGGTACGGGGAGAAGTAATGCGAGGCAGAAGCATGAGCTGCCTAGCCTACAGTGTGAAGAGTTTATTAAAGCCCATGGAACCAAAGCAAATTACAAAAAGTTGCCTTTCTTGGTTTGGGGGCTTACTAAAGTAGTAATACATCCTATAAAAATTTAAACGGCACAGAAATAAATAAAATGGAAATTCAAAATTCCTTATAGCTACCATCCTGCCACCCCAAAGAACCACTATGAATAGTTTAGCATATATTCCTTTAGATTTATTTTTATTTGTATATTCTAAGATATTTTAGCATTACTTTTTGCAAGTAGGGTAGGGTTTGTTGTGTTTTCTGTGGTATTCCTAGCATCCAGAATGGTATGTGTTATGGCACATTGTAGCCACTCATTAAATATTTAATGAATGAATTAATAACATATTTCAGAGAACAAAAACTGGGGGTCTGTAGGTGTGTGGTTTGTCAAAGCGATTAATCTTTTTTTTAAGTTGGTTGCTACTATTTAAAACCTGGCAACTTTCACATAAAATCTGAATTTCTGTCCTTAAAAATATTGAAGTATTTGGCAACACAAGCCCAAATTCCATTTTACTTGTGGCACTTCTTTTTGGTGGGCATGAATCTTTGCTGGTAAATTACAAATTTGGACCCTACAAATCTGCACTCTCTAGTACAGTAGCCACTAGTCATGTTTGGCCATTTAGTTTTAAATTAACTAAAATTTAGTTAATTAAAAATTCTGTTGCTCAGAGGAACCAGCCATATTTTGGGTGTTCAATAACCACATGTAGGAGTTACCTTATTGGGTGGCACAGATAACAGAGCATTTCCATCATGGCAGAAAGTTCTGTTTTGCAGAGCTGAATTACACATTTGGGTTTGCCTGATTTTTGCAAGTAGCATTTGTTGTTAATTTTTAAATTTGCATATCTTCATCATTACATAAATCCTCATTTTTTAAATGGCTGTGTAAGTATTTTAGCAGTGTAGGACTTAATGTCAGTTGTGGGAGTAGGATTCTGTTTTCTAATTTGCATTTTATAAAGATTGCTTTAGCTCTCCTTTGGGGAGAAGAACAAGAGAGTTAGGGGTTGGTGGTGAGATAAGGCAGAGATTGGAAGTGTATAGTAATCTACATCCTAAAGCTACAGAGCCTAGGAAGGGCTAGGTTGACATACTGAGGAGGCAGAACTGACATTGCCTAAGTTAATGTGGGCTGAGCTCTTTTGGATGCTAAAGTCACTGTAGAGATAATCCAGTATTACTTGGAACTGATTCAATGTTGAAAATTGGGAACTTGGTTTTGCAAAATATAGAAGGAACCTTTAGCTAGTTCAGGTCCAGTGAACAATATGTATAGTAGTAAAATGTTATCAGCTTTATATGAAATGTATAATTGTTTTATACTATGTGACCTCTTAAATTAGAGATCATTTATTTACAAGATACAGAAACTCCTAGAAGAGAGGGAATTATATTAGGAAGAAAGTGAAAGCTCATGAAGCTCAATTAAAATGTAGGAAGTACAACAGTCTCTTTGGAACCAGGAAGGCGTGACTCTCTCCCTCTGAGTCTTCCTAGTCTGTCACTTTCTTTCCATTCAATAATTCCATTGTCCTTTCTGTAGCTCCATTTTTTTTTTTTGCAAAGGTTTTTGCATATTGCTTTGTTTTGCCGTAGCTCCAACTATAGCCCCAACTTATACATGCCTTTATCTTTCTGTGCCTGATACTGTCTCACCAAACATTGTTTCAGGTCAGGTAACCACTACTAGTTCCGTGGCCAGTGGGAGGGGTCACTAGAGATAAACATGGCAGTCTAGGCTTATCCCTTAAATTGAGGCTTCAGGAGTCACTTATAAAAAGGGTGTATGGTTCGGCAAGTGCCTGAAGCTTATCTACCACCCTAAAGGAAAGTAGGTTTGTGTTTTGTGCAGTTTGACTTCTAGTAGAAGACTTTATGTATTCAAATCCTACGTACACATTCCCATTTGAAACATTTTTTTTAGTTGAAGTATAGTTGATACACAATCTTACATTAGTTTCAAGTTTAAAACAGTGGTTCACCAGTTATCCACATTATTAAATCCTCACCCCAACTAGTGCATGAAACAATTATTTAAAATTGTTTTTTTCTGCATCTGCCAAGTGGCATTTAAAAAATGCATACTTGAACTATTCTGCTAGTCGCGAGTATCCTTTCTTTTTAAAATTCATATAGTACATAGCTTTTAATGTATAACTGTATTTTATGATCCCCTGATAGTCCTATTTAGGTATATATTTTTTCTCCTTAACTAGATTACAACTTTCATGAGGGCAGGGACTGAATTTTATGCTGCATCTGTAGCATACGGGCCACCTAGACAATAAAGAAACTTACTAGCTACTCAAATACTAATTTTGAAACAATTTGCAAACTTGAATTAATTTTATCACTTTTCAACGTTGTTCAAAAAAGATGACTAGAATATCTTGTTAATGTCAAACTGTTAATATGCCAGTCTGAACTCTCAATTTAAAATTGGTAACAATAAAAAAAAGGTTAACTTGAAGTTAATATTTATTTAGCATGCCCTTTATTCACATACATTAATAGTGCAAGGGTGGAATGTATAATGTATGATAATTTTGAAATAGTTTGATAATAGATAATGCCATTTATTAAAACTGATACTCTGCAGCATTTTTCTAGATAACTAGGTTGAGTTAGATTTATATATCTTCAGCTTTTATTATTAAGTTTTAACATTTAGAAAAATTGAAAAAAAAATTAGTGAACACACATATAGCCACTACTTAGATGCCATTTTACTGCATTGGCTTTGTGTCCTTTCTCTCTCTCTGTATGTGTATTCATTTGTTACAGTTGGAAAATAACTTTTATTCATCAAGAAAAGATACTTCAGCAAGTATCTCAGGTATATGATGTTTACCTGCCTAACTACAGCTAAGAAAATAAGCAATACCTGAAATAACCTAAAAGCAAATACATATTCAAATTCCCCCAATAGTCCAAATTGTTTTCTAAAACTGATTTTTTGTCTTTCAAACTAGGATCTAATCAAAGTTCACATGTTAAACTTTGTTGTTGTCTCTTAGTATCTTTCAAAAATAGCTTAATGTATAATTGGTATACAATAAATTATACATATTTAAACTTACCAGTACAAGTTTTGACATAAGTATGTACCTGTAAAACCAGCACCACAGTCAAGATAGTGGACATATTCATTACCCACAAAACTTTGTAATCCCTTCCCCACTCCTCTTTACCTCCCTGTCCTTAGGCAATTACTGGTCTGTGTGTAATATAAAATAATTTGCATTTTCTGCAGTTTAGTTTATAGAGCTGGAATCATACAGTATGTACTCTTTTAGAGGAGTAGGTTCTGGCTTCTATCATTTGCTTATATATAGAAATGAAATTGTTTTTGTGTATTGCTTCTGTATTCTGTCACCTTACTAAACTTATTGTAGTAGTTTTCTTGTAGATTTTCTATATAGACAATCATGTTATCTAGGAATAAAGACCTCTTCTTGGTTATTTCTTGTCTGGATACCATTTACCTATTTAGTTTTTATGTATTTAATTGATTCTATTGCACTGACTAGAACCTCCAGTACAGTGTTGAATAGAAGTGGTGAGAGCAGACATTCTTGCCTTGGTCCTGCTCTTACGAAGAAAGTGTAGTCTTTCACCAGTAAGTATGCTGCTGGTTATAGGTTTCTGTAGATATCCTAGTTTACTGAGAATTTTTATCAGATATAGATATTGGATTTTATTAAATGGTTTTTCTATGTTAATTGAGATGATCATGTGGTGTTTCTTTTTCAGTTAAAGGGTGAATTACATTGATTTTATGTATCTGCTAATCCTTCTATTCCTGGGACAAATCTCATATGGTCATGATGTATTGTCTTTTTTATTGTCGAATTAGATTTTTAAAAATATTGTTAAGAATTTTTTGTATCTATGTTCATGAGGGGTATTACTCTGTGGTTTTGTTACTTTATTTTATTTTCTGCTGGCTTTTCAATTTCCTGGAAGAGTGTGCATAGAATTGTTATTATTAATTCGTCTTTAAATGTTTGGTAGAATTCCCCAGTGAAGCTATTTAGGCCTGAAGCTTTCTTTGTGGGAAGGTTTTTAACTACAAATCAATTTAAAAAACTGAAATTGGGCTCTTCAAGTTGTCTGTTTCTTTTTCAATGAACTTTGGTAATTTGGGTTTTTCAAGGAATTTATGCATTTTATCTAAGATGTCAAATTTAAGATTTTCTTTTTCATCAGTTTTAAGAAATTTGATCATGATATACCTTGGAGTAGTTTCCTTTGTGTTTCCTGTGTGTGTGAGTTTACAGTTTAACTTCTTGGATTTGTGAGTTTACAGTTTCCATCAAATTGGAAAATTTTGGACATAACTTTTTTAAGTTTTTTGCATCTACCATCTTTCCTCCCCTTTCAGGGACTACAGTTACACATCTGTTAGGCCATTTGAAGTTACCACACACCTCTCTGATGGCTGTATGCATTTTTTTTCAATCTATTTTCTCTTTGCATTTCATTTGGCATGTTTTTATTGATATGTCAAGTTCATGAGTCTTTATTTCTGCAATGTCTAATATGCTATTCATCCAGTGTATTTTTCATCTAAGGTATTGTAGTTTTCATCTAGAAGTTTAATGTAGGCATTTATAAGAAATATATCCATGTCCCTACATAACATTTCATTTAACTTCTTAAACATATGTAATATAGTTATAATTATTTAATGTACATGTCTGCTAATGCTGTTCTTTGTGTTATTTGGGAGTTAGTTTCTATTGATGGATATTTCTTCTAATTATAGATCACACCTCCTGCTTCTTGCATGCCTGTTAATTTTTAAATGATAAATTGTACCTTGTCCAGTAGTGGATATTTTTGTACTCTTGTAACTGTTCTTGAGCTTTTTTCTAGAATGCAGTTAAGTTACTTAGAAACAGCTTGATTTTTTTTACTGTTGCTTTTATTTTTGTTAGGGCCAGAGTAGCTTTTAGTCTAGGACTAATTTTTTTCTAATATTGAAGCAAAACCCTTCTGAGTATTCTACCCAATGCTCCAAGAATTAAAAAATTTCCATTTTGAAGGGTGGGAACAAGCAATATACTCTACAGTGTGTGAGCCCTGCAAGTTGTCCCTCTAACCCTGTCAGGTGGTTTTTTTCTTAGCTGCAGGGAGTTTTCTCACAAGTGTGCCCTGATCAGGACTCCACTAAGTGCAAGAGGGGGAATTTCTGCAGTCCTCTGGAGTTTTCTCTTTGCAGCTCTGTCTTCTCTTGTGCTGTATGAGCTCTAGTTCCCTTGGCCTCTTGAACTCCCAGCTTCATTTCTTCAATTTAGGGGGCTCATTAGGGCCCTGCCTCTCTTTGCATGGTGACCCAGAAACTCTCCAGGCAGTAAGCAGGAGCATGTAGGGCTCACCTTATTCATCTCCCCTCTCTCAAGGATCACTGTTCTTCATTGTCTAATGCCCAGTATGTCAGAACCATTGTTTTATTTATTCTGTTTCTCAGTTGTTTCTGGTGGGAGGATAAGTCTGGTGCCTTTTACTCCATCTGGAACCTACTCAGAAGTGCCAGGATTATATTTGAAAGGAACAAATTTATATTTTAAATATATATTTTGTAAGTTAGATTTTATCCCATGTTCTCTTTTCCTCGTTATTGCGAATTGTTAAAACTTACTGCTGTTTTGTCTAATCTTTCTTATTTACCAAATAATTTAGCTGTGGAAATAAAAATAGATTTCCCCCAACTTAAAGTAGGAAATGAAAAGAAGGAAAAGTATGGGTTATTGAAGTATATATTGTAGAGTAAAAAAAAAGTAACAAAAACCTCTTTGGTTTGTCTTGCTGACAGGCTTGTCTTGCTGTGGGGTTGGTGAGAAGAAACCCAAAGTAATTTAGTTTGAGATCTATTAAAGGAAGACCAACTGACATACCTATTTTGTAAGTGTTATATTCCCACTTTGGCCAGTAAGTATTTTCCAGAGATATTTATAGTTTTTCTTTTTTTGTGTGTTCCAGAAAATCAAGGGAAAGAAAGATGAGCTTCATCTGTGGATGGCAGGCTGCTACTAGAAGCTGTGTTTTCTTCCGATTTAATTTACTGGCCAACTGGAGAAAATGTCACACACTAGCTGCAACCTCCTTGGACTGTCATCAAGTACAAATTAACCATATAGTGAATAAATACCAGGGCCTAGGAGTGTATCAGTGTGATAGGTTGACTTTTCTGCCTGAAAATTTTCACTTCTATAGGACTTTTTATAACAAAAGAATTGGATGCCTCTTGAGCACCAGAAGTAATGAAATTTGGATGATTACCCGAAAATGTACTGCATGGAATGATGCTTTTTCAAGACAGCTATTGATAAAAGAAGTTGCAGTCAACACTGCCCATTCAGTGTCACGTCCTCTGCACTGTTTTCCTTCAGGGGACATCAGGAGCTTCCATGCTTCTCCACGGTCCCAAGCTGCTCCAGTTCCTCTCTTTTTGATACTTCTTAAACCAGTGCAGAAACTACTTGCAATCATTGTAGGCAGGTAAAAAGCCTTTTAAAAAGGGAACTTTTATATTAAAAGGTATTTGTAAAATTTTGCTTTTAAAGAAAACTTGTAGATTACCCAACCATATTTATCTCAGAATTAAGTTTCTAAACAGTTGGTTCTACACAGTTTTTTTATATATGACTTAATAGTCTTGAAATAATTTACTGCATATTAGAGTATAAAAATACTTTTAAAAGTACTTATAGATCTGGTGTAGACATTTTTTAAAAGATATTTATGATTATAAGAATTGAATGTTGTAACTCATTTCTCAGAACAGTACTTGCAAACATTCCTTTTTAGTTTATGGAATTTAAGGCAATGGATCATGAAATTGAAGAATTTTGTTTATTTAAAAGTGAACTTATTCCTTGCCAGGTTAAAATAAATAATATTTACTTATTTTTTTATTCTATTCCCAACAAATCTTTGTTATTTTTTCTTGGTAGTCCCTCATAATAGTTAATGTTTTTACAGCTTAATAGTACTTTATATTTAATTTAAACCTCCCTCCATAATTAATTCTGTTTCTCTTATTCACTCCATGAATATTGAAGAAAGGTAAAATTAAACATTGTCTCCTCATAAAGTTATGTTTGGTAACTATGAAGTCCCTTCTAGCTTTCTTATGTCCATACTAACCGACTCAATAATCTTTTTATCAAAAATTAAGAACTTGTACTCTGTAAGATGTTACTGTGTTCTTTATGATTTGGCATTGGCACCCAGAAAATGTATACCCAGAAGGCGTATAGCTGACAAAGAAAACCAGATTAGACAATGGTTAAAGCAGTAAAAACAGATTTTATTCTGGGCTTTTGCAGTAAAGGAAAAGAGACTTCAGAACAGAACCAGAGTCAGTTCTAAAAACAGCAATCAGAAGTGGGGATTCATAGCCAAGGAGTGGGTGGGGTTTGGTGGATAGGAATGTACTAAGGAAACATCAGGAAGAGTAAGGGGGGATTCTACCTAAACCAACCTACCAGGATTCCTGCTTCAGGTAGGTGAAGGCGGTCAGACATCACTTGGGGGAATGATGAATGATGAAAAATTTGATTAGATACCAAGGGTGATCGGATATGGAGGATGGGGGTTTCTGGCTGAGCTGAATTATCTGGAATTTTGCTGAAATTGGACAGTGCATAGAATATGGAAGTTCAAAGTTGAAAAAGAGTTCAGGGGAGCTTGAGTAGAGTTGAGTGGAGAAGAGTCTTTGCCATAACTCAGCACATGTCCTTAGGCCTGTAGCTTTTTTATCCTTTTGAATTATTTATTTATTTTTGACTTGTTGTTTCTGCAAATCATCTAAAATTTTCTTTTAGGACATGTTTTCATTCATTGTAAACAGTAAGTCATAAAGTTTTAAATGGTAAGTGTACTTCATAGTTTTCTTTAGTTTTTTTTTAGGTTAAAGTACTTTAGAGGCATTTTAGGTGTTATTTTATAAAATATATTTTGTCAAGAGAATGATATATATATTTTAAATTTTTGTTGTGATTTCGCAGATGAACTCATAAGGAAAAATTTTATGCCAATGTTGAAAACAGTGTTGTCAGAATGTCTCTGATCCCTGACGAGCAGCAGAGAATTCTGTTGCCTGGTAGAAGTTGGACCTCCTCAGATGTTATGTATAAAATCTCTCATTCCCTTACTTATAGTACTTATGCTCTTTTTATTACCTCTCATGGTCATATTCTTGAGGGGTTGGTGGAATTTCTGCTACTGCAATATTCATTTCTAAAAGCAATGTTGAGGCGGTTTCCCTCATACCTTGCCGAAGTACTGGCTGTGCCACAAGTCCGATGAGCCATGGGGAGAATGGTGGTTAAAGGTACGGATTTATTGTACCATAACCCTCTCAGGTATTTATATGGGCAGTTATCCCTATGAAGTGGCTAAGTGCTCAGACTCTGGGATCATAGTGCCTTCTTGCCTAGTTTTCCTTGTGTTACCTCTGTGACCTCGGACAAGTTGCTTAACTTCTCTTTTTTCACTTGTCTCCTCTATAATGGTTATTATGAAAATTAAATGAGGTGACATGTATTAGACGAGTACTTCACATGTCATGAACAGTCAGTAAATGTGAGCTAGTGGTAGTTGTAGTTAAAATAGCTTCTCTTTTAGTGTTTACCTTTAAAATAGTTTAAGAAGAAAAATTCAAAGGAGCATTAGAATTTTTAATATACCTCTATACAGTTGATTACTTTTTCATCATTTAGCTAAGAATTTTATAAATTGAAAAAGTCATCTATACAGAAAAGTACATCATAAAAAAAATCAAGTATTTGATAACTTAAAATTTTAATGTAAACATTAAGTTTTGGGGATACGTGCTGATACCCTTAACAGAACTTTGAATTTTTCTGTTTGCTCTAGGGGCATAAGGAAATGGTGGCAAGCACTTCCTCCTAACAAGAAGGAATTATTTAAAGAAAGTCTAAGGAAGAATAAATGGAAGTTACTCCTTTGTTTGAGTAGTTTTGGATTGCTCTTTGTAGTGTTTTATTTTACCCACTTGGAAGTGAGTCCAGTCACAGGAAGGAGCAAGCTACTCTTATTGAGGAAAGAACATTTCAGACTTTTATCAGAACTGGAATATGATGCAGTAAGTAGTAAGAATTGTTTCTAATTAGATTGCTTAATAATAATCCTCAAAGCAGGAAAGTTTCTTACATATGAAAGATGCACTACCTTTTTATTTTAGTCTTTGATAAGAAATTAGCGTTTGTTCCAAAAGGCCTCAAACCTTTCATACTTAGTATTCCTACTGTCAACATTGCTTTTCCTCCATTCCTCCAGCCAGCTCCTGCTCATCACATGTCACCTTAATGTCACTTTCTCAAGAGAGCCTTCCTTGATTATCCAGACCTAGTTAGGAAGGGTGGTTATATTAGGCTCTAGGGGGTATCCTTCATACACACTGAATTATAAATCACCTAATCTGTAATTGTACCCAGTGCTTGGCTATGTTGGGATTAGGTCTCTTACTTTTATTTTTTCTTTGCATACTGTACTTTTCTTTTAAAGCACTTATCGTGAGGGTGATGTAATTATTTGCATAATTATATATTTGCTGATCTGTCTCCCTTGTGGGGCTAAGCTCCATGGGGCAGACACCTTGTCAGTTTTATCATTTTATCTTGAGTAGTAGCGCAATGTACAAAGTAGTGCTTAGTATATATATATTTTTGAATAAATAGATCTGTTATCTGAATTTTTGTACCTTGAAAGTAAAAGTAGAATAAGACAGTCTTTTTTCCTAAGCATCAATTAGTGTTATGTCAATTTATTACATTTTTTTAATGCAAATTAAAGTTGGAATTCAGAAGCCTCAATTGTTGGAAGATGTAATAACTCAGGTAGTTAAACATTTTATACCACTGGTGAGTTTCTTGAGCACAGATCATCTTTCTCTCTCTAGTTCTTGGCGCATACATAGTATGTGTTCAAATAATATTTGTTGATTTGAAGTCTCATAGCCTAACTTGAAAGCTTTGGCATGGTTAGATCTTTGTATCTTTCTGTTTCAGTTGAGTTTCTGAGTTTGTGAATAGAAAGTTATCATTAAGAAAAGAAGTAATAATTGTTTTTCACTAAAAATATTTCCCTTCTTAAAAATATGGCCAATCTTTTCTAGTAGAGTTTATACCGGAGATTTGAGAAGTCTTAGAAGAGTCTAGCTGAAAGCAAGTTTGAGGAAAGTGTTCTAGAAATACTGAGACAGGCCTAGTGTTAAATTAATGCATCTTCTACCATTCATATGAGTAAGAAATTTATAAAAATTATATGTATGCACAGATATATTCTTATTTTTTAACCTACAAATGTAATATGAAAATTTAAACATGTTCTCATAGGGATATTATAAGGTAGTATAGTTACATATACTCTTGCTGGTTTTATCTCCTTAAGAAGGGTTAATTTAATAGTGTTTTCTGTTGTTTCAGTTTACATTGGTAACTTGTGCTTTTTAAAAATTCTAATTGACATAAAGACTTTAAAAATCATTTTCTACAAAATCATATTTTTTGTACATTTCAAGGAAGGTTACAAACTTGTTGATTCATATGTGAAAGATTATACATTTTATGGAAATTAAAGTAATATTTCCACAACATCCTTAATTTTCTCAGTCCACTTGAGTTTCTCATGAATATAGTTTCAGAAAGTTGTCTTCTTATGATAGCTAGTCTGAATCAGCATAGTATAGAGAGAATGATACTCCATTACTTCTAAAGTTTCAGTAATTTCCTTTCAATCTGTGAATGAAGCATCCTAAAAATTAATGAAATGTCTTTTTTTATAGGAGTTCAACTTTTCTATTAATTAAAAGGTGTTTTTTTATGCAGTGGGTTATGAAAGTAATTTTCTTTTTTCTTTTAGTTTATTTGTAATCTTTATGTTCTCCAGGTAATGTTTTGTTTTCTAAAATACTTAGGGAAAGTAGAAATATTTAGGCATTTTATTTGTTTATAGGCTAATAGAAACGATGAATGAAATTTTTATTTCAACCAATTTATATGAAAAATCTTAGTTATTAAAGTTTATTCCATTTGCGAGAAACCACATTGCCTTTGCATGAATAATTCAAATTTGAGAAATTTGAGTGCTTAATATATGCAGATTTTTACATAATTAAAAATTAAAATGTTCAACAATAAGTAGCCCTGTAACTCTCAATGAAGCAATGTAAACATTTTGTAGAGCTAAAATTCATAAAGAATACTTTGGTTTTTAATCTTTCAGTGGATGGAAGAATTTAAAAATGATATGCTAACTGAGAAAGACCCCCGATACCTGACTGTTAAGAAAGTGGTTTATCATTTAATTGAATGCAATAAAGATATTCCAGGGATCTCGGAGATTAACTGGATCATTCATGTGGTTGATTCTCCAGATGTAAATGCCTTTGTGCTTCCAGTAAGTAAATGTTCTCAAACCTAATTTTTAATTGTTAAGTTTAACATCCTTATTTTTTACGGTGTTCTATTTACTTACATGATTTTCTTTCTGGTGCAGAATGGACAAGTGTTCGTCTTTACTGGGCTTTTAAATAGTGTGACTGATAGGCATCAGCTTGCCTTCCTTCTGGGCCATGAAATAGCACATGCAGTACTTGGGCATGCTGTAAGTACCTAAAATGAATGTTCTGTTGTTGAAATACTGCTTTGAAATTAAGAAGTTAAGTCTTTTAAAGAACTGAATCTTTTCAGTTTTCTCTTTTCTTAAATGATAGAATTTTAGTTGTTAGTTATTGGATTGTTCTGTTACCTGAGAAAATATAATTGGCTAATTTTGATACTGAAAAATTAGTGTTTCTCTTAAACACTTTTTTTTTTATCACCTGTCTCTTTTGCTAAGAAGTAATTATGCTCAACCTCTAATTATTTCAAATTAGATTTTAAAGTTCCCGTAATTATTAACATACTTATAATCTAGTCAGAAATTAACTGTAGGAAAGTGATATTACTATTTATGTGGGAAAATGAGTTTTCTTGCTTTTTTATTCATTCTCAGAAGAAAGCTTGGAGCATCTTTGAAAATGTATAGAATGAAATGCCATATATAATTCATGCAGAGTAATAATAATAATACCTTGCTGATTTACAGTTTGCTGAACTTTTTTATGTACCTTCTCATTCATAATTATAATACCATTCTCTTGAGGTATATTACATTATACATGAAGAAAACTGACATTTTAAAAAATTCTAAGTAACCTGACTAACGTGACAAATTGGGAGAACTGGGACTTTAACCCAGGACTTCTGTTTGCAAGTCCAGTGCTGCTGCTTTTTACCAGTTAGACCTGGTTGCTGCCAGCAGTTTTCTTACGTCTTAGAAGTTGGGTTAATTTATGCTCCTATGAGTACACATCTGTTTGACTTGATATGACTCCAGAAAAGTAATATATTTGTTTACTCATATTTTTATTTTTATTCATTAAAAATACGCATGGCTCTTTTGTCCACATGATTAGAGAAAGAGATATTTTCTAATTGAAGACATGAGGGTAAATAGTGGATTGCAGCATGTGGTATCAGAAATGCAAGTAATATGAACTTTAAGTGGAAGTAATAATGTTATTAGTCCCTCTAAAAGTCATCTCTTCTGAATCACAAATAATACATTCCTTAGAGTATTAATAAAATAAGGTAGGCCCATGTTCTCTTCTGAAGCACAAATAATATCTCCTTTGTTTCTTCTGAGTTTAAATATTTTCTTTAACCAAATGTATACAAAAATAACTAAGCAGTTGATATAGATTACATCTTTCAAAAAGTGACTTCATAACTGCAAAACCAATCAATTTTGGCTATTTCTAGCATTTAAAAGGCTTTCATACTCAGGACATTTATTTTCTGGCTAGTTTAGTAACTCATTCAGCATATTGTTGTCATTTCTATCAGTGCAAGAATAATAATTAAATGAGACATAGTAAGCAAATAGCCTTAAAAACAGAAAAATAATCACTAATATTTCTTTGTTGAGGTCCTAGACATTATGAACACTATATTTTCTTTTTTAGGAGTCTCCATTTTGATTTGATCTAGCCTTTCATGTTGTTTTCTTTTATCCCACAAATATAGATTTGTTTTAAGTTTTAGTTTTCTGAGACTCTGTAATAGCAATTATATTCTTTAGTAATTAATAACAATTTTCTCTTCTATAATGACTTCGTCATTTGGAGTTTCATTTTTTTTTGTGCTTGAACAATTCCATAATTGTTTTTTATGGCACACAGTTCTTAGCGTAAAGGAAAGACTGCTTCATGAGGGCAAATTATATTGTTAATGGAAGTATTCTAGTTGATTTTTTTAGTTGTCAGTCATGTTTCATACATTCAAGTAATGATTCCTCTATCATCAATATCAGCATTAAATTAGCATTTATTCATCTTAATGGTGAACAATGAACTATCTAGTATCTGCCCCAAACAATGATTTTAAGTAAGATCTTTTTTGGTTACTGCTAAAAGTAAATGCAAAAATTCATAGAACTCAATTTCCTGGTGAGAAATATCAAACTGATAAAATTGCAAACTTAAATAAATGAATCATACTTCATGTATTAGGTTTCATGAAGTCCAAAAAACTTTTATTTAAAATAAATTTTTAATCTTTTCCTAAATTATTCCTTGTTTTAACTATTTCATATGTTAGGTAGTGTTTATAAGTATAATAAGCCCATTTATTTGAGCTTAAAAGAGATTTAGTAACTCTATCAGAAATTAAAACTTCCTGTGTTTGAGTCCTTTTACTAATACCTGTGTGAATTTGGACAACTCCTTGAATTGTTCTCCATCTTCATTCCTTTATCTATAAAATAGAGGTAATTGTACTTATTTCACAGGATTATTATGCTTGTTAATATAAGAACATGTAGGTTAATGAACCTGTCGTTGTATCTGAATGATGGTAAGTGGCTCAGTAGATGTTAGTTAAATGAATGAATGAATGAATACAAAAGTATGTAAGCAAGGGATGGGAAAAAAGACTGAGAAAGGATAAGGCACACAGAAAAAGAAAGTGCCATCTTAGTCGGTGAAGATCAGGTAAACATATGTAATTATATAATATGATTACACATTATAAACTAGAAAATGTAAGCATATACTGTCTCAACTTGTTAAATGTAATTTTCATTATTTTGACTATTCTCAGGCAGAAAAGGCTAGCTTGGGCCATATATTGGATTTCCTAGGTCTGATTTTTCTCACAATGATTTGGGCCATTTGTCCTCGAGATAGCTTGGCACTTCTGGGCCAGTGGATTCAATCTAAATTGCAGGAGGTGAGTCTGAGACAATAACTTGAATTTGGCCTGTGGTTAGGATATTTTCTCTTACTATAAAGCAGCAAACACCAGAGATGTTTTCACGTATTACCATGAAATATGAGTACTGATTTTAGTATCTTATGTTTTTTCATTTTTAGGGGCTATACTTAATACTATGCATTCAAACTAGAAAACAATACATCTCTCAAATGATGGAGATAGATGGGTTGAAGGGCTTAGCAACTTTTGACTACCATAATTTCTCCTTTTCTTTTTTGTCATGGTTATTGGTCCTAACAGAGAAAAACCCAGTCACAAACCCTTCTTTTCCTTCTGCCACTTTACCTTCAAGCTTTCTGTTTTTGTCTCATAATGACTGTGATGTACTCACTGGATGACTCTCCTTTCCCTCGAGATATCTACATTTTGATGGGTAACTCTTACAAAACCTATGAACTTTTATGGGCACAAGGCTGGTTGAAATTGCTTTACCACCCTTACCTCCTCACTCCCAGTTAAACTGTTACTTCCTGGAAAATATTGAAAGGACAGTATTACTAGATGTTTGTTAACTTTTGTTTTTAGTACTTATGTATAATAATAATTATCTCAAAATTTATTAAGTCCCTCTTTTTGTTTAAAACACTACCCTACTGAAAGTAGGTTTTGCAATCTTGATAATTGCTTTGTTAACTATGATTAATTATTTTGTTTTACATCTTTCTTCAAATATTTCCTTTTGTCCTGGGAGGTTTGGTTATTTAGGAACGATCTGTTATTTGTTTATTTAATGATTTGTAGAGCACCCATCAGAGTGCCATCTGGGTGCTGTTTAAATTTAGTGTGTAAAATTCTTTGAGACAAATTGCTTTTGAAATTGGATGACTGTCTTTTATTCAGTGTTACTATATCATTTGACTCATATTGAAATAAAGGGAAAACAGAAAGGTTATTGCTTAGGTTATAGAGTCTCATATTTTGAATTTTATTTATGTCATTGATGTGCTGAGAAGTCAAAGGAATTACTGTACCGGCCTGTTAATAAATAGCTCTTACCCATCTTTCAATAAATAGCTTTTTCTATAATGGAATCCGAAGATTTGGTCTTAAGAAAGAAAACTTGTAGCTGTTTTTCCCTTGAAGTACTTGATGTATCTTCTATTTCATTAAAATTCCTGAATTTAATGAAAATAAAGTAAGGGATTACTTCTGCTTGAACTCTTTTTCCCTAAATCAAGGTCCTCAATAATTTTGGTGACAGGGAAATAAAAGCCTTGCTTATTGTGATTGGAGAGTAGAAGGGAATGCTAATAAGTTTTTAAGAAGTGGGTGTTGCTGACATTTACTTGATGAAGAAATGAAGAGAGAAAGGAAGAGGTAGAGGCCCTTACAGTAACTGCTGGGGAGTCCTGTTTTTGTAATCTTAAAGATTTGGGTATAATGTAGCCGTCCATATAGAGTGCTACCAGCTAGTGTGTTGAGAGCTATTAGTAATAATTATAGTGGCCAACATTTATTGAGTACTTATATATGTAAGGCACTAGGATAAACACTATAAATTAATTATGTACAAGGATTAAGAATATAGGTTCTGATCACATGGATCTGTGTTTGAATTTAGGCTCCAGAAGACCTAAATCCTATAGAACTTGTGCAGACTACTTCATTTATTGTGGGTCTCAGCTTTCATCTGTAAATTGGGATAATAATACTGGCTAACTCAAACCACTGTTGTGGATTTAATAATATATTTACAACAGGATTTCTCAGTCTAAGCACTGTTGACATTTTGGGCTGGATAATTCTTTGTTGTGGGGAATTGTCCTGTGACCTGCAGGATGTTTAGTAACCTCTAAACATCTATCCTCTTCCCACTAGATGCCAGTAGCACTTCATCCTCCCTTACCTCATCCCCCCAGGTGTGACAGTCCCAAAGATCTCCAGACATTTCCAAATGTGCCTAGGGTACAAAATAACTTCCTGTTGAGAACCACTGATTTAAGGTATTTATCACAGTACCTGGTACAAAGTAAGGACTCCGTAGGACCTGTTATGACTATTTGCTCATTTTATTTTCTCTACAACTCAGAGGTTAGTATTGTTACTGCTCCATTTTGCATATGTTGCTCCTGAGCTCAGAAGGGTTAAACAGGGTTAAAGGTTAATAAGTGTCAGCATTTAGACTTGACATAAGTCTCTCCTTTTAAAGCCAATGTTTTTTATCAGTTATACTGTCAGTAGACTTGATGTGACATCTGCAGACTGCTCATGAAGAGTAAAGGCAATATATAATTCAGCAACACAGAACAGACATGATCGAAAAGCAAGAGTCATATCTAATAGTCATATACTGTGGATCACATTGATTATGTAATTTCTAGTCATCACTGATGTGTAGCTACTTCTGAAAAATTGTTTCCCCAATTAATAGCTCTTTTCTCAAAAGTTTGCCTTTTAATCCATCTTCTACAAAGTTTTAGTAGTTACTGAAAATTAGAATTTAACTGGAAAGCATTCACATAAATACAAGTAATTAGGAAAATTAAAGCTACAATATCTATTTGTATTTTTTTATTGAAGTTGGAAGAAAATTTCATTTTCCTAACTAATCAATACTTAGAAAAGAAAGAGGAAATTAAGATACTTTATCAAAGAAAGAGTATTCTGCTCTATGGTTGATTTTCTAACTGAAATAAATCCTCCAGTAGTGTCACTGGTTATTACATAGTTGTATTTTTTCAATTTTCTTTTAAAACTGCAGGATCAAAATATTCCTTGGCTATATTAAAAGCCTGAATCAATAGGCTTTCTTAGAGATCCTCTATACACTACATGGAGATTATAATTGAAAAAATAGAAGTACTCTTTCTGATACTGTAGACTCTCCAGAAGTTTGTTGGGAAGATTTTTTTGTATTCTTTCCATGTTTCAAAAATGTTAGTCTCTGCTGGAGGAAATAAAGGCTGTCTTTATGTTTTATACCATGGTGTTCTTTAAATGTTTGTAATGGAGAGCATAAAAACTATCCCAAATACTCCACAAAACTAATTTTAAAAATCTCATTATGTTACTCCTTCTAAAATAAATAGCCTTAATTGAACTTTTCTTTCCTGTTTTTTCTTAGTACGTGTTTGCTAGACCATACAGTAGAACATTGGAGGCTGAAGCAGATAAAATTGGACTACAGGTTGTTGCAAAGGTAAAATGTTTAGTAGTGAGAATACAATGTCCTTCACATAATGAATGAGATGTGTGTTGTCTCAGTAAGGTTTGTCATGGGCAGAGAATGAGAGTTGGATAGTATACAAGTTTTCATTAATACCTTTTCAAATCTGTGGCCTCTGGAAGCACTAAGCTTGTTTTAGTCCTCTCCCTTGTTTCACCGATTTAAGGAGGTTTTTTGAGTGACTAAGATAATGTGTAGCTGTTTTTCCCCACGTGGAGAAAGGTTTTTCCTCTTGTACCTATGATTCTGGCTGAGCAAACTGAATTTTTACCATTTAAATAAATAAGAGAAGAGCATGCTTATTACTCTGTATCTTTCAGATTAATTTTGTTGCATCAGATGGCTTATTTTTCTAGACACAGAGAGCACCCTGGGCCTTTACTATGACTTCAGTTGACGTTGTTCATGCCTACTTAACAGAGCACTTCATGCCTGGCTGCTATTTCTAAGTACCTGTCATAACTGAGGATTGTTAGTAGGGTTTAACATGAAAACAATACTACATCACATATTAAATTCAAATTATGTTTGATTCTTTGTTGAGTTTCCTGTAGTTATTAAAAGTCTTAACTATTAAAATTTATAATTATTTGAACCTCTCTTTCTGGGTCTTATAGATTTAATTTCACAAATCAAGATATTAATCACAAAAGCGAAAGTGGTTCTTTAAATATTACATAAGTGGAATTGAGAGAATTATCAGACTATATAGATTAAGAGGTTCCCAAATAATGGGTCACAGATTCGCTATACCAAGAATTCCTAATTTTATGTGTTGTCTATGAAATTTTCCCTTTATGTAAATGTGTTGTTTTTTTCAGGTAAGAAATCTTTGCCTATTTCAATAAATTGTTGCTATTTTATTTCTAAAAAGCTTTATTGTTCTGTTATCTTTTGAAATATAATATGAGGAAGAGTCAAGGTAACCTTTTTCTCAAGTGGTTATCTAATAGACTTAGCTCTATTTATTAAAGAATTATCTTTTCTCCACTATACTTCAATGGCTGTTATAAATGTGATACACCGTATGGAACTCTGTTTCTGGACTCTCTTGTATTTCTTTGGTATGTTACTTATCCTTGAGCCAATAGCACATTGTCACTGTTGGTAATTACTCTTGATACCTCATAGCTTCTGTCCTTCAATATGGTTCTCCAAGATTGGCTTGGCTATTCTTGGTCGTTTGCTTTTCCATATAAATTTCAGAATCAGCTTATCAAATTGCACACTTGTACAAAAACATACCTGGGGTTTTTATTAGAATTGCTTACACTGAATATAGGTTAATTTGGGGACTATTAACTAGTGTCAACAATATTGAGTCTTCCAATCCATGAGTAGCAGATTTGTCTGTGTATTTAGATGTTCTTAAATATCTCAGTGATGTTTTTGGACTTTTGTGAAAAAAATAAATAAAAATAAATGATGACTTACACATAATTTTATTAGGTTTATTGCTAAGTGACATTTTTTGATGTTATAAACAGTGTCGTTTTAAAAATAAATGCATTTATATAGAAGTTTGTTTTTATAGTTGACCTTATATCCAGCAGCCTTGATAAATTCATTTAGATTCTTTTAGATTTTACGTATACACTGTTAGGTTGCCTGTGAATAATGACAGCTTTGTTTCTTCCCTTCCAATCCATATACTTTCTTTTTTCACCTTATTACAGTGGCCAGAAACTTCAGTGCAGTGTTGATGGTGGGGACCTTTATTTCTTCCTGATCTTAGTGGAAAAGCATTCAGTGTTTCACCATTAGTTCTGAAGGTTTTTTTTTTTT